CCCCAGACAAAAAGTCCTGCTATAAGATGAACAGCTCATTTCCCACGAGCAACTATGGAGGCCAGATGGTAATAGGGCGAGACATTAACGAGCCCAAAGGAAAAAAAAAAGAAAGAGCAAAACTGTCAGGCAAGACTTCTATATGAAGCAAAACGATTCCTCATGAATGAAAGAGAAACGAAGACATTCTCAAATAAAGAAAAGCCGAGGGCGTTCATCACGCCCTCATCATCGGCAGACCTTCCCTCTAGGAATATGCTAAAGGGAATGATTCAGGCTGAAAGAAAAGGACTTTATATAATAACCAAAGTCAGATGAAGGAGGAGGGAATTCTGGGAAAGATAAGGGCATAGGGCCAGCCCTGTAGCACAGCATGTAAGTGCCATGCACAGAATGCTAGACCTTGGACGAAACTGTAGTTTGAATCCCAGCTCCAGTGACTTGAAAAGGTCCCCAGCAGCAACCACACGTGCATGTGTGCCCACAATTTTAACAGGACAGAGAAACATTACAGAAAAAAAAGGATTGCAGTGTGACCATGCCCGTTGAGGGATGCTCTCTCTCTCTCTTTCTCTCAAGCACATATTCTCTGGCAATTAAAAAAAAAAATGTAGCTACATAAGTAAATACAAGGGGCCAGCAGGTGGCATGGTCGTTAAGGTGCTGGACTCCCACATGGCTGACTGAAGTTCGAGTCCTAGGCCTGGTGGCTCTCTCTCTCTCTCTCTCTGGTCAAATTGAAGAGTAATAATGAAAATAAGGTAAAATAAATAATTTGTAAAAGTAAGTAAATATAAAAATCAGTATCATTGTGTTTTCTTTTTTGAAAAAAAAAAAAAAAGAATGATTTTATTTAACTTTATTTATTTATTTGAATTTGACCAGAGAGGGACAGAGGACAGAGAGAGAAAGAGAAAGTGAGAAAGTAAGCCACCAGGTCTGGGACTCAAACTGTGGTTGGCCATGTGGGAGTCCAATGTCCTTAACCACCATGTCACCTGCTGGCCTCAGTATTTTCAGTTTACAATAGTGGTTTTCTTTTTTTCTTGGGAGTAGCAGATGGCATAATGGTTATGTCGCTGAACTCCCACATAATCGACCGCAGTTCGAGCCCTGGGGCCAGCGGCTTAAAACTCATACCAGGTGCAAGTGCATGCATGCCCAAAACCCCTAGGGGAGAATGGAGGAGAAGGGATTGCAGGGCTGCCATCCCTCTTGGGAGGTGATTTCTTACTTTCTGTCTCTCTGTCTCTCCAGCAAGGGCATGTGTCCTATAGCAAAAATCTCTCTGGGAACCAGCAGTTAACGTAATGGCTATGTCGCTGGACTCCCACGTAGTCGACCGCGGTTCGCGTCCCGGATCCGG